GGGACTTCCCTGGTGGTGCAGCAGTTAAGAATCCGCCTGCCAATGCAGGGGACATGGGTTAGAGCCCTGGTCCGGGAAGATCCCACATGCCATGGAGCAACTAAGCCCATGTGCCACAACTACTGAGCCTATGCTCTAGAGCCTGCAAGCCACAACTACTGAGCCCGCATGCCACAACTACTGAAGCCCATGTGCCTAGAGCCCGTGCTCCACAATAAGAGAAGCCACCACAATGAGAAGCCCACATACTGCAACGAAGAGTAGCCCCTGCTCGATGCAACTAGAGAATACCCACATGCAGCAACAAAGACCCAATGCAGCCAAAAATAAATGAATTTATAAATATATATATGAACATGAAAATGGGGATGTAAAAATTTCCTGGAAAATATAAGAGAACTGATGTTTTTAAGGTTTCCAATATATAAGATCATGCCATATGCAAAGAGAAACTATTTTACTTCTTCCTTTCCTATTTGGATGTCTTTTATTTTTTCTTTCTCAATGGCGCTAGCTAGGAATTCCAGTACTGTGTCAAATAGAACTAGAGAGAGTGGCATCCCCTTGTCTTATTCCTAACCATTGAGTATGAGGGTTAGCTATGGGCTTGTTATATACGGCCTTTATTATGGTGAAGCATAGTCTTTTTATACCTAATTTGTTAAGGGTTTTAAATATGAAGCCATGTTGTATTTTGCAAATGCCTTTTCTGCATCTATTGAGAGAGTTATTGGATTCTATCATTCATTCTGTTAATATGATGTATCACACCTATTGATTTGCATATGTTAAACCATCCTTGCATCCCAGGGATAGATCCCACTTGATCATGGTGAATGATTTTAATGTGCTGTTGAATTTGGTTTGCCAGGATTTTGTTGAGGACTCTGCATCTATGTTCATCAGAGATAATGGCCTATAATTCTTTTCATATAGTATTCTTGTCTAGCTTTGATATCAGGGTAATACTGGCCTTATAAAATGAGTCTGGGAGTGTTCCTTCCTCTTCAACTTTTTGGAAGAGTTTGAGAAGGACTGGTATTATTTCTTTAAATGTCAAACAGACAGCAATACAATAAAATTTGATGTTGAAAGTGGAGTACTGAAGACATCCAATATTATTGAATTGCTGTATATTTCTCCCTTCAGTTCTGTTAATACTTGCTATCTTTAGGTGCTGTGATGTTGGGTGACATATATTTACAACTGTTTTTTGCTCTTGATGATTGACCCCTTTATCACTACATATTCACCTTCTTTGTTTGTCCTTATAGTTTTGGACTTAAAATCTATTTTGTCTGATATAAGAAAAGCTGTCATTGACATCTTTTGGCTTCCATTTGCATGGAATATCTTTTTCTATTCCTCCGCTTTGAGCCTATGTTTACCCTTAAAGGTGTAGTGAGTCCCTTACAGGCAGCATATAGGGGGTCTTGTTTTTTATCCACCAGCCACCCTATGTCATTTGAATGGATAATTTATTCCATATACATTTAAAGTAATTATTGACAGGTAATGACTTACTAAAGCCATCTTACTAATCTTCTTCTGGCTCTTCTGTTGTTCCTTTGTTACTTTCTTCCTCTCTTGTTGACTTCCTTTGTGATTTGATGGATTTCTCTGGTGGTATGCTTTGATTCTTTTCTCTTTATCTCCTGTGTTTCTACTATAGGTGTTTGCTTTGTGGTTACAATGAGGCTTACATGAAACACCTTAAAGTTATAACAGTCTATTTTAGGCTGGTAACTACTTAACATCAATTGCATATAAAAACTCTACACTTTCACTCCCCCCACTACATTTTATGTTTTTGACATCACAATTTACATTTTATACTGTGCATCCATTACAAATTATTATAGCTATCATTATTTTGAATACCTCTGTCGTTTCACATTTATACTAGAGTTAAGTGTTTCACACACCATTACAGTATCAGAGTATTCTGAATTTGACTATATACCTACCTTTACCAGTGTTTTATACTTTCGTATGGTTTCCTGTTATTAACTAGCATCCTTTGATTTCAGCTTGAAGAACACCCTTTAGCATTGTCTGTAAGGCCGATCTAGTAGATCTAATGATTATGAACCCCCACAACTTTTGTTTTTCTAGGAAAGTCTTTATCTCTCCCTCACATCTGAAAGACAACTTTGCCAGGTAAAGTATTCCTGGTATTTCTTCCTTCAGCACTATGAATATAGAACCCCTTCTCTCCTGGCTTGTTAGGCTTCTGCTGTGAAACCGCTGATAGCCTTATGGCTAAAAATACATATTTTAAATGAGTGCTGATTTAATTAAATGGGGGGTTTTTTTGCATCTATTATATTTATTTAATGTACTAAATCTCCTGGGTGCACACAACACAGCCTCTGACATTCTGCCACTCTCCTGATAATGTGAATCTCAAGAGGAGCAACATAAACATGGAAAACAGTGTAAAACTTCAGGAGTAGCATCCTGAAGAGACTGTCCTCTAAGTCTTGCTATCCAGACTCACAGAGTTACTCTAGCTGCTATCCTTTCTGAAAACTAGTACCTTAGCTTTTCATTTAGAGCCTATCTGTTTTACATACTTAATGAAACTGCTCTCAATGTCTGCTAGCCATAGATAAGACAAACCTTGGGGCTATAAAAGATTCCAAGCTGCTGCTGTCCTGCGGTGCTCTCTGAACAGAGAATTCCCATCTTGTAACTGAGTGACATGATCTGGACACATGAGTCTCCTCTCTGCTACCCCTCCCCCCAGAGTTCAAGTACCCTTTTCCCCTTCTGGTTGTGGCCCTGCACTGCTGTCTCTGAAAGGTCTCCTGCTGTGACATATTTCCTTTGCAACTTGTCAGAGCTCTGCCTAAATAAAGCTCATTATGTGCTACTACTATCTCATGGTCGTGTCTTTTATCAGCCCTAAAATCCTCTAGTTTACTACAAATGTGTAAGTTTTTCAGTGAAACTGTATAAAAAGTAGCAACAGGGCTTCCCTGGTGGTGCAGTGGTTGAGAGTTCGCCTGCCGATGCAGGGGACACGGGTTCATGCCCCGGTCCGGGAGGATCCCACATGCCGCGGAGCGGCTGGGCCCGTGAGCCATGGCCACTGAGCCTGCGCGTCCGGAGCCTGTGCTCTGCAACGGGAGAGGCCACAACAGTGAGAGGCCCACGTACCGCAAAAAAAAAAAAAAAAAAAAAAGTAGCAACAATACCTGAATCATTTTAAGAATGAGAAAATCCAGATATCAAGAAACACTTTAAAAGATAACTGAAAATATGAAAAATTTTAAAGTTCCCGTAAAAACATTCCCACAGATGGATTATTCAAGCAATTTCACTCCGTGTCAACCAAATAGAACAAGAAGTACTTCAGTACAAATGGCACAAGTTTTTGAAGAAGCAGATGATATACCCTAGGAAGCACTGAGAGCACAGTTATGCTCCCGAGTATGGCAGGATGCAATGAAGAAGGTACATGATAGAAACACAATGCATGTTCTCTGACTGAGAGGCCCTCAACTCCTGGTTGATATTTGCTAAGGTAGAGCCCCAAGTCCCAGTCCTGCTGATCTAACCAAGCATTGGGAAGATATCCAGGAGAAATTTGACCATTTTAATGCACACCACCACCCATGTAGTATTGCTATCTAAGATGCTTAAGCTGAATCTAACCATGAGGAAACAGACGAATACAAATTGAGGGACATTTTGCAAAACAACTGGCCTGGGCACTTCAACAAAGTCAATGCCATGAAAAGAAAAAAGAAAACCAAGGCTGGAGAACTGTTCTAAATTAAAAGAGATTATGACATGACAATGATAAAATGTAATATTTAATTCTTGATTGGATCCTGGACCACACACCCCCGACCCCCAAAAAACCAACCAAACGAAAACAGCTAGTAAGGACATTCATGGGACAATTAGGGAGACATCTGAATATGGACTATATATTTTATAGTACTATTATATCAATGTTACATTTCCTGAGTGTAATAATTATACTGTGATTATGTTAGAGAATGTACTTTTTCTTAAGATGTATATACTAAAATATTGAGCAGTTCCTGGGTTCCGGTATCACCAACCTATTATCTTTTGTATTCCCAGACATTAGAGTATAGAATGCTTTAATGCAGTGATTATTCTGGGTTATATCAGTATTTCCTCCTTTTTTTCTTTCACTCTTCAAATATGTGTCTAAAACTCCCTATATTAGATTCTATTTCATAAAGTGACTCATAAGTTTCTCTTTTCCTGACTAAACCCTAACTTACCAGAAGGATACTCTGATGCTAACTCAACCTCTGGTCAAAAACATAATTTCTAGTACCAAAAGCTACATAGTTAGACAGTACCTTAAATTTTATATTTTAAAATGATGAATTTTAAAATAAAAAATCACAATCTAATAATAATACCTATTACTTTTAAAAATAAGACATGACAGTAAAGAATTTTTTTAAATCACCCAAAATCTGAACATGCAAAAACAACAAATGTTAACATTTTGATATATTTACAATTCGTCTCTCCTCTATTCAGAAATTGCTTATGTTTCACAAATTTGTGACCAAACTACATACCCATTTTCTACACTGTCCTTTTATCCTTAGGTATGCCTTTACAGTTTTTTCAATTTCTATTTGCAGAAAGAAAAGATTTTAAAAGTCTCCCTCACTTTCACATACAGAAACAAAACGACAGATTTATCACTAACTCTCATCAAGGACTATTCTCAAAATAGTACATCATTTTTAAAAAACATGCTGCATGCATAATTGTTTTTAAAATTTGTAACAAATTACCTTTCCAGTATACAGGAAAAGAGGTTAAAGTTGTCAGTATTTTAAGATAAAATTATGTCCTCAGAATTATATATGATAAAACAGGTATATTTTTTGCAGGAAAACATGCCAATAACATATTTTATACTATGAATCAAAAAGAAAACAGCCTTCCTCTGCAACCAATAAAAATTATAAATAAATTTAGTAAAGCCAACTACTCACCCCCTATTACTGACAATTGCTTTTTTCAAATGAATGTAATTTGCAGGAAAGATCCCCTGTAAAAGAGAAAAGGTTTTCCATTAGAAAAAGTAATTTGTGATTAACATCTCATATAGACTAAAATAGCAGCCAGATTTCAGCATGGAACTACTCTATCAACAACACAGTACATCTTTTAATGTAGCAACCACTTTACATATTAAGAATACAAAGTTGCACAAACTATATTCAACAGGAATTTCACTGTCATTTGCAATCAGAGTCTATCCTCAGGGAAAAAACTGTGATGTTAAGCAACCACCAAAAATCAATTTTCTTTAAGTTTTAGAAATATTCATCAAATCACTCTTAGGATATAGACTTAACGTACAGAGCTTGACATGTATCTACAAAACGACATCATCATCTAACAATCAATTTACAGATTATCCAGCTCTGAGCTAGAGAAAGAATTCTCACATTCTGGGTAACATTTGTATTCACAAGAATAAATCAATCTGGGAGCTTTTATAAATATTTCTTCTTTTACTCTTTCCAAACGGTTTCCACTTTGGTATCTGCCATAATTTGATTTCAATTCCTAAGGGATAAAAAATGTATTGTTTTAGAAAACAAGTAAGTTTTCCAATCAATGTTTCACTCTTTTTCCTGGTGTATAAAACTCCCTTGAAATAAAACACAGATGGCCTATTTTTTATTTTTCTATTTCTTTTGTGTGTGTGTGTGTTAGTTTCTACTTTATAACAAAGTGAATCACTTATACGTATACATATGTTCCCATATCTCCTCCCTCTTGCATCTCCCTCCCCCCCCCCCTCCCTATCCCACCCCTCCAGGTGGTCACAAAGCACAGAGCTGATCTCCCTGTGCTATGCGGCTGCCTCCCACTAGCTATCTATCTTACACTTGGTAGTGTATATATGTCCATGCCACTCTCTCGTCTCGTCACAGCTTACCCTTCCCCCTCCCCATATACTGAAATCCGTTCTCTAGTAGGTCTGTGTCTTTATTCCTGTCTTACCCCTAGGTTCTCCATGACATTTTTTTTTCTTAAATTCCATATATATGTGTTAGCATACGGTACCTGTCTCTCTTTCTGACTTACTTCACTCTGTATGACAGACTCCAGGTCCATCCACCTCATTACAAATACCTCAATTTCGTTTCTTTTTATGGCTGAGTAATATTCCATTGTATATATGTGCCACATCTTCTTTATCCATTCACCCGATGATGGACACTTAGGTTGTTTCCATCTCCGGGCTATTGTAAATAGAACCACAAAGAAAATTTTGGTACATGACTCTTTTTGAATTATGGTTTTCTCAGGGTATATGCCTAGTAGTGGGATTGCTGGGTCATATGGTAGTTCTATTTGTAGTTTTTTAAGGAACCTCCATACTGTTCTCCATAGTGGCTGTACCAATTCACATTCCCACCAGCAGTGCAAGAGTGTTCCCTTTTCTACATACACTCTACAGCATTTATTCTTTCTAGATTTTTTGATGATGGCCATTCTGACTGGTGTGAGGTGCTATCTCATTGTAGTTTTGATTTGCATTTCTCTAATGACTAATCATGTTGAGCATTCTTTCATGTGTTTGTTGGCAGTCTGTATATCTTTTTTGGAGAAATGTCTATTTAGGTCTTCTGCCCATTTTTGGATTGGGTTGTTTGTTTTTTTGTTATTGAGCTGAATGAGCTGCTTATAAATTTTGGAGATTAATCCTTTGTCCATTGATTCATTTGCAAACATTTTCTCCGATTCTGAGGGTTGTCTTTTGGTCTTGTTTATGGTTTCCTTTGCTGTGCAAAAGCTTTGAAGTTTCATTAGGTCTCATTTGTTTATTTTTGTTTTTATTTCCATTTCTCTAGGGGGTAGGTCAAAAAGGATCTTGCTGTGATTTATGTCATAGAGTGTTCTGCCTATGTTTTCCTCTAAGAGTTTGATGGTGTCTGGCCTCACATTTAGGTCTTTAATCCATTCTGAGCTTATTTTTGTGTATGGTGTTACTGAGTGATCTAATCTCATACTTTTACATGTACCTGTCCAGTTTTCCCAGCACCACTTATTGAAGAGGCTGTCCTTTCTCCACTGTACATTCCTACCTCTTTTATCAAAGATAAGGTGACCATATGTGCATGGGTTTATCTCTGGGCTTTATATCCTGTTCCATTGATGTATCTTTCTGTTTTTGTGCCAGTACCATACTGTCTTGATTACTGTAGCTTTGTAGTATAGTCTGAAGTCAGGGAGTCTGATTCCTCCAGCTCCGTTTTTCCTTTCTCAAGATGGCTTTGGCTATTCCGGGTCTTTTGTGTTTACATACAAATTGTGAAATTTTTTGTTCTAGTTCTGTGCAAAATGCCAGTGGTAGTTTGATAGGGATTGCATTGAATCTGTAGATTGCTTTGGGTAGTAGAATCATTTTCACAATATTGATTCTTCCAATCCAAGAACATGGTATATCTCTCCATCTGTTTGTATCATCTTTAATTTCTTTCATCAGTGTCTTATAATTTTCTCCATACAGGTCTTTGTCTCCTTAGGTAGGTTTATTCCTAGATATTTTATTCTTTTTGTTGAAATGGTAAATGGGAGTGTTTTCTTAATTTCACTTTCAGATTTTTCATCATTAGTGTATAAGAATGCTAGAGATTTCTATGCATTAATTTTGTACCCTGCTACTTTACCAAATTCATTGGTTGCATCTTTAGGATTCTGGTTGCATCTTTAGGATTCTCTATGTATAGTATCATGTCATCTGCAAACAGTGACAGCTTTACTTCTTCTTTTCCGGTTTGGATTCCTTTTATTTCCTTTTCTTCTCTGATTGCTGTGGCTAAAACTTCCAAAACTATGTTGAATAAGAGTGGTGAGACTGGGCAACCTTGTCTTGTTCCTGATCTTAGTGGAAATGGTTTCAGTTTTTCACCATTAAGGACGATGGTGGCTATAGGTTTGTCATATATGGCCTTTATTATGTTGAGGAAAGTTCCCTCTATGCCTACTTTCTGCAGGGTTTTTATCATAAATGGGTGTTGAATTCCTTCGAAAGCTTTTTCTGCATCTATTGAGATGATCATATGGTTTACCTCCTTTAATTTGTTAATATGGTGTATCACGTTGATTGATTTGCATATACTGAAGAATCCTTGCATTCCTGTAATAAACCCCACTTGATCATGGTGTATGATCCGTTTAATGTGCTGTTGGATTCTGTTTGCTAGTATTTTGTTGAGGATTTTTGCATCTATGTTCATCAGTGACATTGGCCTGTAGTTTTCTTTCTTTCTGACATCCTTGTCTGGTTTGGTATCAGGGTGATGGTGGCCGCGTAGAATGAGTTTGGGAGTGTTCCTCCCTCTGCTATATATTGGAAGAGTTTGAGAACGATAGGTGTTAGCTCTTCTCTAAATGTTTGATAGAATTTGCCTGTGAAGCCATCTGGTCCTGGGCTTTTGTTTGTTGGAAGATTTTTAATCACTGTTTCAATTTCAGTGCTTGTGATTGGTCTGTTCATATTTTTTATTTCTTCCTGGTTCAGTCTTGGCAGGTTGTGCATTTCTAAGAATTTTTCCATTTCTTCCAGGTTCTCCATTTTATTGGCATAGAGTTGACTGTAGTAATCTCTCATGATCTTTTGTATTTCTGCAGTGCCAGTTGTTACTTCTCCTTTTTCATTTCTAATTCTATTGATTTGAGTCTTCTCCCTTTTTTTCTTGATGAGTCTGGCTACTGGTTTATCAATTTTGCTTATCTTCTCAGAGAACCAGCTTTTAGTTTTATTGATCTTTGTTATAATTTCCTTCATTTCTTTTTCAATTATTTCTGATCTGATTTTTATGATTTCTTTCCTTCTGCTAACTTTGGGGATTTTTTGTTCTTCTTTCTCTAATTGCTTTAGGTGCAAGGTTAGGTTGTTTATTCGAGATGTTTCCTGCTTCTTAAGGTAGGATTGTATTGCTAGAAACTTCCTTCTTAGAACTGCTTTTGCTGCATCCCATAGGTTTTGGGTCATCGTGTCTCCATTGTCATTTGTTTCTAGGTATTTTTTTATTTCCTCTTCGATTTCTTCAGTGATCACTTCGTTATTAAGTAGTGTATTGTTTAGCCTCCATGTGTTTGTATTTTTTACAGATTTTTTTCCTGTAATTGATATCTAGTCTCATAGCATTGTGGTCGGAAAAGATACAATTTCAATTTTCTTAAATTTACCAAGGCTTGATTTGTGACCCAAGATATGATCTATCCTGGAGAATGTTCCATGAGCACTTGAAAAGAATGTGTATTCTGTTGTTTTTGGGTGGAATGTCCTATAAATATCAATTAAGTCCATCTTGTTTAATGTATCATTTAAAGCTTGTGTTTCCTTATTTATTTTCATTTTGTATGATCTGTCCATTTGTGAAAGTGGGGTGTTAAAGTCCCCTACTATGAATGTGTTACTGTCGATTTCCCATTTTATGGCTGTTAGTATTTGCCTTATGTATTGAGGTGCTCCTATGTTGGGTGCATAAATATTTACAATTGTTATATCTTCTTCTGGGATCGATCCCTTGATCATTATGTAGTGTCCTTCTTTGTCTCTTCTAATAGTCTTTATTTTAAAGTCTATTTTGTCTGATATGAGAATTGCTACTCCAGCTTTTTTTTGGTTTCCATTTGCATGGAGTATCTTTTTCCATCCCCTTACTTTCAGTCTGTATGCGTCTCTAGGTCTGAAGTGGGTCTCTTGTAGACAGCATATATATGGGTCTTGTTTTTGTATCCATTCAGCCACTCTGTGTCTTTTGGTGGGAGCATTTAGTCCATTTACATTTAAGGTAATTATCGATATGTATGTTCCTATTCCCATTTTCTTAATTGTTTTGGGTTCGTTATCGTAGGTCTTTACCTTCTCTTGTGTTTCTTGCCTAGAGAGGTTCCTTTAGCATTTGTTGTAAAGCTGATTTGGTGGTGCTGAACTCTCTCAGCTTTTGCTTGTCTGTAAAGGTTTTAATTTCTCCATCAAATATGAATGAGATCCTTGCTGGGTAGAGTAATCTTGGTTGC